CTGGGATTACAGGTGTGTAACCGCCACACTTTGCCTGTTCACTTCCTTAATGTTCTTTGAAGCACAAAAGTTACCCTGATGAAGTCTAATTTATCCCATTTTTCTTTTGAACTTTTAGAATTGTCAAGGAAGTAGCCCAGTTTAATTCTTTTACGTGTTACTGCCCTGAAGTTCAGGCACTATTTGTTTATTTAATTTATTTATGTATTTATTTGTTTACTTATTTTGGCAGTACTGGGAGGTTTGAACTCCTCAGGGTCTCACGTTTGTTATACAAGTACTCTAGCACTTCAGCCTCCACCAGCCTTTTTTGTGTTAGGTATTTTCGAGATAAGGTCTTTAAACTATTTCCCCAGGGCTGACTTCGAACCTCAATCCCAAGTAACTAGGACTGCAGGCATGAGAACCATTTGTTGATAGGAGTATTTTTTTTGTCTGGGCATTCGTGCCGAAGATCACTAGTGCATAAGTGTAAGTGTATATTTCGTTTTCATTCATTGATCTATATGTCTACTCTAGTACTATTACACTAATGCTACATTGAAATATTATAAGGAAGTTTTGAAATCAGAGGTGTAAATTTGTTCTCATTTTTCAAGATTTTGTTTGCTTTTTGACTATTAATTTCCATCTGAATTTTAGGATCAGCTGTCCATTTCTGGAAATAAGCCAGGTGGGATTTTGGTAGGGCCACATTAAGTCTTTTTTAATAAGCCCACATCCCAAATGTTTAAAAAAATTTTTTTTTTGGAGTACTGGATTTTGAACTCAGATACATTTGCTAGACAGGCACTCTACCATTTCAATTTGTTATCCCAATTATTGCCTAAAATGATGTATCCACCATTATTTTGGCATACAGAATAGTTTCAGTATCTGTTCATCCTTTCTTTCTTTCTTTCTTTTTTTTTTTTTTTGTGGTACTGGGGTTTTGAACTCAGCCTCACACTTATTCAGCAGGCACTCTACCACTTGAGCTACTGTGCCAGCCCTGTTTTGTGTTGGGTATTTTTAAGATAGGGTTTCACAACTTGCCCAGGCTGGCTTTGAACTGCAATCCTCCTGATCTTTCTGCCTCCTCAGTAGCTAGGATTACAGACATGAGCCACCAGCACTTGGCTTGTTCAGTTTTTCTCTCCAACCCTTGGCAATCACTGATCATCCTTCTGCCTGCATAGGTTTGCCATTTCCAGAATGTTGCATAGTTGGAATTATGTAGTGTGTAACCTTTTCAGATAGGCTTCTTTTACTTAGTAATATGCATTTAAATTTCTCCATAACTTTCATGGCTTGATAGCTAATTTTTGGCACAAATACTCTATTATGGATATACCACAGTTCATCCATTCCTCTGTTGAAGAGTGTCAATTAGGTGCTTCTGTACTTTGGCAACTAAGAACGATCTGGGGGTGTAGCTCAGTGGTAGAGCACTTGCCTAGGATGCTCAAAGCCCGGGGTTAATCCTCAGCATGTGGGGGAAAAAACTCTGCTGCAGACATTTGTGATTGTTTGCTTGTTTGTTTATCTATTTACAGCAGTGAGTATTGAACTAACAGATCCTCAAGCTTTCTAGGCAGGTGCTCTTGAGCCATTCCTCAGCTCTGCTGCAGATAATTTGTGTGAAAATTTTTGGTTGGTGTAACTTTTCATATAATTGTTGGAATTTAAGAGTATCTTTAGTTTTGTAGAAACTGTCAAGTAGCTGGACCATTGCTGTACCAGCAATGAATGAATTTCTGTTCCACATCCTTGTTTGTATTTGATATTGTCATTGTTTTGGGATTTTTGCAATTCTAACAGCTGTATAGTGGTATTGTTTTAATTGGTAATTCTCAGTCTTCTCATTTCCCACCTTCCAAGTGGGACAGGATGTCCAGACTAGGCTAGAATAGTCCTGAGGTTGATTAAGTTCTGGCAAAAGAGTTTCTCCTGAGGGCAAGCTGTGTTATGAAAAGAATACCCTGGGCACTTTTAGTCCTATCTACTTGGAAGGCTGAGGCAGGAGTATAAATTGAGCCTGGAGTTTGAGTCCAGGCTGGGCAACATAGGAAGACCCTGCCTCTTAAAAAAAAACAAAACACCAGTAATGCTTTGGCATAATTCAAAATGGTTCCTTCTCAGCTCATTTCATGCCAACCAGAAACCAGAAACTTGTAATTTTTATAATTCTGTGAAAGTGAATAGATCCACGTCATCTTAAAAATGAAGGAGCAGGCTGGTGGAGTGGCTCAAGTGGTAGAGCACCTGCCTAGCAAGCCTGAGACCCTGAGTTCAAATCCCCGGTACCACAAAAAAATGAAAACAAAAAAAAAAAAATGAAGGAGCAGAGTATAGATAATAGGGGTAACTATACAGTGTAGTAGAAAAGTTACAAGAATGAAAATAGGTATGATGCACTAGATTTGGCTCAAGGCAGTCATGAGAACCTTTGGGAGTTCATTTCCACTAGAGTGAGTATATCTGAGGAACAGAATATTGCAGTGAAATATGTTATTATAATACATGTTAGTACTTCTTGATAGTAAACTGGGTCTTTAATATGGTCCATATATCATATAAAATAAGTTTTCTGTGTCAGAACACAGTGTTTTACTAAATTTACAAAATAACATCTGCTTTGTCATTTAGAGATAAACATATTGCCCCTCAGCAAAATTCTGAGGTTAGCAAAGTGTTGTTAAAGTCCCATTGTATTTTTTCCTGTCCTCAGTTGGTGATTCCTCTTCTTTGCCCTTTTTCCCTTTAGGTAATCAGGACTCTGTCTAACTTTCTTTCCCAAATTAAGTGATGGTTATCATTAGTTGATACTAGATACTAGTTCCTGTCAAGGCTCATACCAATATAGTGTGGGTGGGTTTTATTTAGCATTATCTCTAGTAAGTATTTGTATACCTCCCCTTTCTACCACCACTCCCAGACCCCTCCTTCAAGAAACTACTAGTTTAAAAGAACATTTTTCCATCTTGGATTTCTTATGAAAACCAGGTACTGACCGATATTGCATTATCCTGTTTGCTACTCTTAAGAACTTTTTAAGTCAGTGGTTCTCAGCCAAGTTGAATTTTCACTCTAGGAGGCATTTTGCAATGTCTAGAGACTTAGTTTTTGTTTTGAGGGCAAGCCTTAAGAATGCCCTGAATACTTGCATTCCTCTCTGTTGAGAATCCAGCCCAGGGTCTTTCATGTGCCTACTTTACCATTGAACTACATGCCCTGGCTCTGGAAACCTTTTTGATTGCCTAAACTTTTGATGGGGAAGGATTGTTGTAAAGATGTTTGAAAATATTTAGCACAGTACCTGACACAACAATAGTAAGTACTCTTTACTGAGTGAATTGGGTTTTTTGTTTGTTTGTTTGTTTGTTTTTTTTTTTAAATGCTGTATAGTCTGGGGGAGTGGATCAAGAGGTATAGTGCCTGCCTAGCAAGCAAGGCCCTGAGCACTGCAAAAAAAAAAAAAAAAAGTTTCGTAATGCTGCACTTCATTTCTTAGAATCAAACCATCTGATTTTCTTGGAAGTTCCCATGTCAAATGCTTTTGATCTGTTATCTACATCTTATAGAAATTCCTGTATTTTTCTGGTCTGCCTTTTAAAATCATGTTTTGATTTTGGTCAGGAAGACAGTTACTATCATAATAATGGTAGAAAAACATTTTTGTGTGTGGAGGGTGGTTTGCTGGAGCCCAGACCCCAAGGCCTTGTACACGCTAGGCAAACACTCTACCACTAAGCTATATCTCCAGTTCAGTTTTTTTTTTTTTTTTAATGGATCTGAACCAGACACATGTCCATGTATATCTTTGACTTTCTCTTGGTGGAACTGGGGTTTGAACTCAGATAGATTGCTAGGCAGGCAGTCTACCATTAGCCACTCCCCCAGTTCCCTCAAAAATGTTTTTTTAAGAGCTATATTTCCCTATTTTTTTCCACAACACTTTGGTGAATTAATTTAATCCTTAGTACCGCCAAAAGAAAAAAAAAGTCTGGCGAGGCATGGTGGTACATGCCTGTTGTTCCAGCATTCAGGAGGCTGAGGCAGGCAGGTCTCAGGGCAAGGCTGTGCTATGTGGTGAAACCCTGTCTCAAAAAAGTAAATACCTACATAAATACATACTTACATAAAAACCTCAGAAAGCAGAATGATGGTATGTGGTACTGTCAAGAACCAGGAAACTATACATGAAAGACTTGTGTATTGTTTAGTGTGGTGTTTTCTTTTTTTTAGGGGTTTTGTTGTTTTGAGACAAGATCTTGTCACACAGCCCAGGATAGCCTTGCATTCTCAACTCACCTGCCTCAGTTCCCTAGTCCTGGAATTACAGGTGTTTGACACACCCAGCATGTTTAAATATTTATGGTGTGCTACTGTTCAAGGTGGTGTTAGGTACTATGAATTATGACTATAAATTTGATTAATTTTGCTAATTGGAGCCCATTAGTGATGTGTAAATTTTTGTGAATTAGTTTTCAGCATACAGATTCTGCATAAGTTAAATTCATACCTTTTAAGTATTCCAGTTCTTGTTATTTTAAATAGTATTTTTAAAATTTATTTTGGCTTCCAATTTTTCATTTCTGAAATTTAGAAATACAATTGATTTGTGTGTTTTGATAACCTGCAACCTTGATAAACTCATTCTAGGCGGTTTGGATTAAAGTTCTAAAGATTTTGGTTGTCTGGTTTTCTGTTTTGTTTGTTTTTTTGAGACAAGATTTCAGCACGTTGTCCAGTCTGGTCTTAACTCCTGCGCTCAGGTAATCCTTCTCCCTCAGACTCCTGGTGCATACTTGTCAAATTGTAATTAAAAAAAAAAAAAAACAAGATGTTCATGTATGCATACCCCCAGATTGAGTGCAAGTGTGCGCCACCACATCTGTTGGCTGACTATTTTTTTATACATTTATTCATGTGAATGCGTTATTTGGGCCATGTCTCCCCCATCCACCCGCCCCTGCCCCCTTCCCCACCTTGGCCCCCTCCCCCTTGGTTGACTATTTTTAATTTGTGTTTTTTAGGGTGTGTTTTTGTAATGCACTAAAATCCAGTTTGGGTTGTTAATTCTTAGAGTGAATCTCAGCTAGGTCCTTTTTCAAATGTTCCAAACCCTTCTGCCCTTGTCCTTTTGAGACAGGGCCTTGCTATGTAACCAGGCTTGCTTTGAACTTAGATACTCTGCATCAGCCTCCCTGGTGTTGGGATTAGAAGTATGCACTGTAGTGCTCAACAGCCCCTTTCCTTTTATTTTTACTCCCTCTCCTAGAAATTAGTGAAACTGAATGCAGAGAAAATTTACATCTCTTTATAGTGACTCAAAATATTATTGGAAAAGTAAGTTTATTATACTCTGGAGGTAGTAGAAGGGTGCATTTAGAGACTTTTTTGTGGGAGTGGGACTGGAGTTTGAATGCAGAGGTTAGCACTTTCAGAGTAGGAGCTCTGCTACTCCAGCCACGCCTTCAGTCCATTTTGCTGTGGTTATTTTTGGAGATGGGGTCTTGTGAACTATTTTCCTGGGCTGGTCTCGAATCACAGTCTTTCTGATCTCAGCCTCCCAAATAGCTAGGATTATAGGTGTGAGCCACCAGTGTCCCACATCTAGAGATTTTTTAATTATGTAGGAGAATTTGTATTAATGGATGAGGTTTTGGCACCTGTTTTCTTTTTGTGGTATGGGGGTTTGAACTCAGGATTTCACAGTTGCTAGACAGGTGCTCTATTGCTTGAGTCATTCCTCCAGTCCTTGCACCTGCTTTTTATCTTTTTCTTTTTTCACTGTCAGTTCTTGGTCTATTAGTGTGCCTGTCCTGCAGAACCTCCTTAATTCTAATAATTTTCATATTGGAGAACGAGATGATCAAATTTCTTCTAGTAACTACCAGTGAAGAGATCCCAGAAGCAGTGGCTGTGAGTAAAGCAGCATTTTCATTTGTGAATCTGGGGGTTTGCATATATGAGCATCTTGTGTTTTTTTAAAGCTACAATTTGACACATCTTTGTTTAATAAAGTCAGTTTTAGCAGGAAATTCAGATGCATCTGAGAATGGAGAGAAAGAACTTTATTATTGAGGTGAGTTTATCAGTGTTTCCTTTTTTACTTATGGCTCATATTCTGTACTGTGTTTCATTGTCTGAAATTTTTTCTGTTCCCTAGATTTCTAGAAGGCATAGCCTTTAAACCATGATTTAATTAAATGCAATTAATATCTAAGTTTTTAAGCTCAATGTAATCTTTAGATGATTTTAGGCCTTTAGAGGCTGAGGAATAGAACTACATTCTGTATAATTTCATTAGCAATCCCATGTATTTTATTTTATTCATTCAAGAACCCTATCTGACTGCCACAATTTTTCATGGCACAAAAACAGTTAAGAATCCCTGAGGGGCACTCTCTGAGTTGGGTCATGAGTTTGTATCACAGCTGCTGTAAACCACAAAGCCTTTGCAAGTTAAAGCCACAGAGTTCTGATATGTGTGTGATAAAGGAATTCGGTAGAACTTTGCTATTGCAATATTGGGTAAATTGTCAGACCTTATTAAGATTAAGTAGCGTGAAATGGAGCCATTTTAAAATGACTTTCTGAAAAATCTGTTGAACTCTAAAGATAATTTCTAAGTGATTTTATTTTTTATTACAAAGCACCAGCATTTCAAAATTGTGAAGTTGGACTTTCAAACTCTTGACAGCTCATACATTTTACATTAAGCTTCAGTTTATAAAAATGGAAACATCCAAAAATTTAAATTATCTTTTTTGGCAGAATTTAAATTTGAACCCAGAACTTGTGCTTGCTAGGCAAGTTCTTTTGTTTTTATTTTGTTTTTGAGATAGGATCTCACTAACCTTGTCCAGACTGTCCTTGAACTTATGATTGTCTTGATTCAGCCTCCTGAATAGCTAGGATTATAGGAATGCACCACCATATCTCTGGTAAGACAAAATTTTAAAGTTAAATATTTTTGTTTCTGGCATCAGGAAGAGATCTCCTTGGAGTCCACATTAGCTTCAGTAAGAGCATTTGAGAAAAGTGAGTATATGTATGCGAGGACTAGTTATGATGGCTTGTGCCAGGGTTCTTAATGTTTTTTAAGAATTTTGGATTTTATTTGAGAGCAGTGGAAAACTAGATCAGTAATGGAATCTTAGAGGGGGGATGGGTATGGTTATGTTACTTAGATTTACATTTTAAAAAGGAGCTCTCTGAACAAATTTTAAGGAACCTATAGGGACTATGGAAAACCCATTGGATTAGCAAAGGTGAGAGATTATTAGCTAGGGTGTCAGCTGAAGAGTTAGGAAGTCTGTTAATATTTAAGAGACAAACTAAGTAGAAGGAGTAAGTATTCAGGGGATTAAAACATAGAAACATTGAGAATAAGTTGGGTGCTGGTGGCTCAGGACTGTAATCCCAGCTACTTGGGAGGATGAGATCAGGCGGATTAACAGTTTGAAGTCATCCTGGGCAAATAGTTTGCAAGATCTCATCTCCTAAAGAACCAGAGCAAAATGGACTGGAGATGTGGTTCAAGTGACAGAGCACCTGGTTTGCAAGCAAGAAGCCCTGAATTCAAACCACAGGCGCCCCCCTCCCCCCCTGCAAAAAGAAGATTGGCAGTAAGGCTTTGAAGAGGTCTAGAATTAGGGTAATACAACAGGATGTGAAGTTGAAGGGTGATTTATTTTGATGAGAGGACTTGATCAGTTTATAAGCTGACAGGAAGAATCCATTGAGAAGATGTTACTGAATAGAGAGGGTATCAAACATCTGTATTTTCTGAGCAGGAAATTAATAAAAGCAGAGATATTAGAATAAGGAGTCAATTTGTATTTTTAATTAATAAATTCATGTTGTCCAAACCTCTCTTCTAGCCTCTCAGTTCCGTACCCACCATTATTCGAGATCTTAATACATGCAAACAGATACGGTACTCCCCAACCCTTTTACACAAAAAGTAGCCTTCTGTACATATCATTTGTGCATTGCTGCTTTCACTTACTATATCTTGAAGATGTTCCTCTATTGGTACATAAGAAGCTTTTTTATTCTCTATGGGTTGAATAATAGTTATTATATGTACAATTATTTAGCCAGCTTAACTATTTGATAGAGACTTAGGTTGTTGCCACTCTTTTGATAGATCCTCTATTTAAATAAGGTGGAAAGACTAACTGGAGATAGGAACATATGTGAGCAAGGCTCTATGTTTGATTATAGGAAGTTATAATAGTCCAGGATAATCTGGGTGCAGAGACATATGTTGTCTCCTTTTGGGCTGGCAGATGGATATTAAATATCTAGATTAAAGATACGTGAAGACATACTTGGTAAAATTAGCACCTTGTGAAATGTTGCCCTGCCACATAAACTGAATGGAGCCACTGGACCAAAAAGTTGAAGGCTTTTTCTTTTTTTTCTATTTTTTGTGCAGTACTGGAAGTTGAACTCAGGGCATTGTGCTTGCTAGACAGGCACTCTAACACTTCGGCCACTCTCCCAGCAGCAGAAACTTTTTAAAAAGGCATCACTGCTTAATTCACAAAGGATTTCAGATTTCTACCATTCTTTTCAACCACAGGACCTGTAACTTTAATCTGAAATAGAAAAATTACTTAAACCTAAATTATAAATTTATTTGTTTGCACAGTGATGTAAAGGTCCTTCACCTTTACAGTTTTTTTCAACTTTGGGCCTGTTGTTTCCCTAACACTGTTAGGTACTAAAAAATAACTCATTTCATAATTCTGAAACTGTGATTTGTATACTTCAAAAAGACATTTTGAATTTTTTAATGCTGTCTTTTCTCTTGTAGTATAACATTTAAAAGTATAAGATAACAAGCCTAATACAGTAAAGGCAAGACAGGAGTTAGAGGAGGTTTGAAATTAGAGAAATTTTGATCAGAGTTATTAGGGTTTGTTTCTTTCTTTTTTTTTTTTGTGCGTGTGGTACTGGGGCTTGAACTCAGGGCCTACACCTTGAGCCACTTCACCAGCCCTTTTTTGTTATGGGTGGGTGTGGGGGTGTTTGTGTGTATGTGTGGGTGGGTATGTGTGTGTTAGGGTCTCTTAAACTATTTGCCCAGGGTGGCTTTGAACCGTGATACTTCCTATCTCTGCCTCCTAAGTAGCTAGGATTAACGGTGTGAGCCACCAGTGCCTGGCTAAAATTACAGGATTTTTTTTGGGGGGAGGGGGGCGCGTTACTAGGGTTTGAACTCAGGGCTTTCATGCTTGAAAAGAACTTCTACGAGCTGCTTGAGTCACACCTCTGGTTTTTTTTTTTTTTTTTTTGTGACAGAACTCAGGGCCTCACCCTGAGGCGCCTGCTAGGTAGGCACTCTACCACTTGAACCACTCTACCAGTTAAAAATGGCAGCTTTTTTTTTTTTTATTTCTTTTTTTGTAAGTCCATTTCTAGATTTTAAATAAAATTTCAGTTTGTACTTCTTTGAAGTATTCCCTGTATGTCATACATCTTCAATGCTTGCTGCTTAATATAAAGACCAAACATTTAACTAGATTCCATGTCCTCTACATTACAACTCTTGGATATTTGAGTAAGACAATGTGACAGGGTCACATTCTCCAACACCAGACTAAGCCAAATTCTCTTGACTTCTGGTAGTATACAGTTCTGTCATTTGGATTTTATTTCATAATTCTAAAATTGTGATTTGTATACATCAGAAAGACATTTTGAGGTTTTAATACTCTTTCATTTTGTAGTGTAACATTTAAAAGTATAAATGACAAAAGTTGATTTATACTGATTTGCATACCTTTGCATTGGAAGCTGCATTGTTGAACCAAACATTCTGTCTAGCAAATGGTAGTAGTATCCTATTTGTAAGGAACAATCAAAACAAAATTAGATTAATTCACTATATTTTAAGTGGAGTTGTTCCATGTTACAATTTATATGCTAAGTTAAGGAAACAACAGGAAAAGGTCACAATCCATAAAAACATACGGTTGCTAGGGACTGGGAGAAGTGGGAATAGCAGGCTAACTAATGCATATGGTGTTTTATCTTGGAACGATGAAAATGTTTTGGATATAGAAAGAGAAAGGTGGTGGTTTCACAGCATATTGAATGCATTAAATGCCACTGAATTTATTCACATTAAAGTGTTTATTTTAGCTGGGTGCTAGTGGCTCACTGCTATAATTCCAGCTACTCAAGAGGCAGAGATCAAGAAGATCTCGGTTGGAAGCTAGTCTAGGCAAATAGTTCAAGAGACCCTATCTTGAAAAATGCCCAACCAAAAAACAGCTGGCTGAGTGGCTCAAGTAGTAGAGGACCTGCCTAGCAAAGTGTGAGGCCCTAAGTTCAAACCCCAGTACTGCAAAAAAAAAAAAAAAAAAAAAAGAAAAGAAAAGTTTATTTTATGTGAATCACCTCATTTAAAAAATGGAGTCAGACTCAGCTGAGTCACATGCTTAGCAGAATTTAAATATACATTGTGACTTGTCTTTATGTTTTCATTTTCTGTACAGCTTATAAATTAGATTTTTTTTTCCCACCAGTGGTACTGGGGTTTGAACTTAGCCTCACACTTCGTTATCTGGCTGGTACTCTACCACTGCGTCACTCCCCCAGCTCCTCACGGCTATAGTTTTTAAAAGACATGAAATTTATTTACCATTACATTAATGATATTTTTCTCCACATTTAGGTTTTTCTTTATTTCAGATTTATATTTTTATTTCTCATAGTGGTACAAGATGGTGGAATGTGCTTATCATGTAGGAATTGTGCCAGGGAGCATTTTATGAGGTATGTGGGTAGTTTCAGCTTGCAGATAACTTATAAATAAGTGACTGATGGGCAGATATACTTCCTTAAAAGCTTTTACATTTGGGTTCCAAAATTAATGATATTTAATGAATTTTTGTTTTTCATACATTTGTTCTGAGATCTGGCCAATAAGGTTTCTTTTTCTTTGCATTACCAAAGGACTTAATCACAATTAAGCTTAAGGATTTTTTTTTTTTTTTTTTCAGTGAACCTCTACCACTGAGCTATACCCCCAGCCCTCTGAAGAAAAAATCTTAAGCAAAACTAAGCCTAGTTTTCCACTTCCACACTTACAGGTGCTAAAACTTGGTACAAACTGAATCATCTAGCAGAAAAACATCAACATTATGCTGTGTAGTACAGTCCCAGCATTGAGATTTAGTACATTTTTTATTTCTTTGAATAGTGCATTAGAAAATAGGAACCACCTGTGTAGAAGATACAGCAGCTGATCTGAGTAGAGGGTGTATAAAACCTCCCAAGCTGGTCTAATTTTAGGTGTCCTCAAGAGACCCAAGTTGCTTCAGATGAGAGTCTTCTAAGATCCCCCTGCTCCTTTAGCCACAATCTAAACTATTTCACTGGACTTCCAGGAAAAATTCATGCTAATCTTTTAGTAAGTTTTTTTCAAAATAATTTTCAGCAGTACTAGGACATCTGCATATCTACCTACAAAGGGGTGCTGCACCCCTTTCTTTGTCATATACAAAAATTAATTCAGTGGTTCATACAACTAACTGTAAGAGCTAAAACTTTAAGTCTCTTGGAAAATTTAGAAGTAGGCCCTAATGAACTTGGTTAGGCAAAATCTTCTTAGATATGATGCCAAAAGCACAAATGGCCAAAAAATATGTTGAACATCATCAAAATTAAAAGTGTGCTTCAGAGTGTGGGAATATAACTCAGTGGTATAAAGCTTGTCTATCATTGCTGAAGGCCCTAGTTTCAATCCCAGCACTGCCAAAAAAAGAAAAAATGTGTACTTCAAAGAACATCAAGAAAGTGAAAAGAGGGCTGGGGATGTGACTCAAGTGGTAGAGCACTTGCATAGCAAGTACTTCATTGTGTTCAAACCCCAGGACAGCCAGAAGAAAAAGTAAAAAGATAATCCATAGAAGGTAAGAAAATATTTGCAAATCAAGTGGGTAACCACACCAGAAGTTACTAACATCATTTGCTATCAGGAAAATGCAAATCGAAATCACAAAGATACCACTTCATACCCACTAGCATGGCTGAAATTAAAATGACAAGTAAGTTCTGGCAATTATGTGAAGAAATTGGGATCTTTATGTATGTATTATTGATGCAAAATGGTGCAGGGGCTTTGAAAAAGTTTGGTAGTTTTGAAAAGGTTGAACAGTGTTCCATTTCTACATATATACCCAAGAGAAATGAAACATCACTATACCAAAACTTGTAAGTGAATTTTCATAATATTGTTATTCATGATAACTCTAAATTGGAAACAGTACAAATGCCTATCAATGGCCACATAAGATGTGATCTATCCATACAATAGAGTGTGATTCTGATACATGTTGGAGTATGAATGAAGTTTGAAATCATGCTATTCAAAGTCTAGCCACAAAAGACCACATTATGATTCCATCTGTATGAGATGTTCAGAATATGTAAATGTATGAAGATGAAAGGCAAATTAATAATTGCCTAGATCTGTGATATTTGAGGGAAAATGAGGAATGACTGGTAAGAAGTACAGGATTTCTTTTGCAGGGATAAAGGTTCGGTAAAATTGACTAATACTGTGAACATAAAAACTGAATTGTGTTTTAAATGGGTGAATTATTATGTGAATTATATCTCAATGGTGTTATATAAAATGTAGGCCTTTTGCCTTATAATGATTCTCTATTTCCTCAATGAGAAGTAATTTTTAAAACCTTAGTGTTTTTTAAATAAAATTGTACTTTAATATGTACGTTTAACAGTCAGATTTCCTATTTAGCTTCAGAAACTGTTAGAATCTGAGAAATACACCTCCTAATGCAGTATTTTGCAGTATTATTACAATGAAAGTTTAGTAGTCTGTGGAAGAAATTAATTATTATTGATGATTGTAGCCTTAATCTTCAAAAGAAAATTACTTGCCCTGGAGGTATTAGAAAACTGCCAAAGAACTATGGGAGTCATTCTTAACCTACAGGATTTAAGGATTTTTCATTTTGGGGATGGATCAAGTAATATTTGCTTTGCCGTCAGTATCTAATCTTGTCTTTCTTAGAATTTCATTTTACACATGCCTTTTATTGGCAGTTTATGACCTTTGAGGTCAATTAATTCAGCTTTCCAATTTTAATTCATAAGAGTAAAATGAATCTGATTAGTTGACCTACCTTCATCAGCCAGGAGCTAACAAGGAATCAAATATTGGCTAGCTTCTTGGTCCACTGAATGTATGCCTGCCTCAGAAGTTGTCAGGTCTTGAACAGTTTGTATAGGTAAGGTAGTCATGTATATTTAACTTGTTTACTCTCTTTATCCCATACTAAAGGGGTTTAAACTTCTTAAGGACAGAGACCTTATCTGTCTTGTTCACACCATATTCCTTTTGCCTAAGATATTGTCTGGAATGTGATTGACTGTACAGTAAAGATGATAATTTGGTGGCTACACTCAATGTGAACTCAGTTTTAGTTGTCATAAAGCTTTAAAAGAGTGAATAATTTTATCTAATGACTTTCTCATGCTGAGTGCCTGTAGTGATAATGCCTACCATTTCTGTCTCCCAATTAGGATACTATACAACAACCCTGTATATGAAGTGCTTAGTGAGTATTTATATAATGAGAAGAAACCAAGTTTTAAATTTCTTTAAAAAACAAGCAAACAAGACAAACACCAGGCCACTCTGTTTTCAGATTTTCTCATTAAATTTCCCAGTATCATAGATGTGATATGCTAGCTTTTATTCCTGTTTATAATTGTTGAGAAACTACATATAAATGCTAGCCATTTGGTTTGTTGTTGTTTTGTCTTTTTGTGATCAAGATTAATGGAACACCAGAACTGAAATATACGTTGAGACCAACTATTACGAATCTTCCTTTTTATGGTTGTAAGTGTAAGTCTGGCAAAATTCAGAGAAAACATTCCCAGTAGGAGACTGCAGCTGGAGAGGTGATGATGCCAGAAGCTGCTTATAAGGCTTTAAGGAGAAAATCAAGAGCTGGCTCTTATTTCTTAGTGGATGAAAAGATACAGCTTTCGGTGACAAGCTGCATTCTTTAGCAGTGACTTTATTTTTCCTTCACCACAAACCAGACTTGTACTATTTCCAGCCTCAGCACATTACTTAGGCACTTCCCCTCTGCATTGTTTTAGTTTCTGAAATCGTACCAAATTCCCTAAATTGAATCTTAACTTTTAGTACAGGGCTTTTACACATTCTTCATTTTCATGTATTTCTTTCTTGGCTTATAACTCCATGAGATTAGGACCCAATAGATTCTTGACAGCATTCATCATTTTAGAGGTGATTCATTATATGTTAACAAACACATGATATGTTTTAAAATTTTTTCTCATCAGATCAGACCTTGCTTTTTTTGATCACTAACCCTGTCATTTCCCTTTGCCCTGCTTTAGCAAATTTTATAATCCTGTGTTCCTTTTATATTCTCTTTCATGATACTTCATTTTTCCATAATGCACATTTTAATTTTAAATTACTCCTTTTCTTTAAGGCAAATGCTTTTTCTTTGAATTCAATTGGGGGGGGAGGTGCGTGCACTCAGACTTACGTGGAGAACTAAAGAAAGTATTGAGAATATTTGTTTAAATTTGATATATATTTGATTCTCCAATTGTGAATTTCATCTGCCTCAAAATTTAGATTCACTGAGCAAACTCGTGTGTGTCTGTCAAAGGATCGATAGTTAGATAAGACTATAAAACATGTAGTAGATTATGGAGAAGGAGAAGAGAGGAAGTCAGAAGGGATGAGATGTCTAATGATGTCATTATTATAGGAGGATCCTGATATTGAGCACCTATCCTATTATAACTGCTATACTTACCTTAGTATTCCTCCTTACAATACCTTTTTTTTCTTTCTTTTTACCTACAACACCCTAAAGATAAATACTCTATTTTGGTGATGATGAGGAACTTTAAGGCTCAGAGGTATTAAATCATATACTTGTTAAGTGTCAGTATTGAAATTCCCTGACATGCCTGTGTTCTTTCCACTGTATTTCTCTGCTTCTAACCTAGATAGATGGCATAGAAATTCCGAATAAGGATGTTGAAAACTAAACAGAGATAGTTGGGTTTTGGATCTATTGGAGGTAGAAATTGAAAAAGCCAGGAAGCCAGTTTTTCTCATTTGAAGGAGGAATGTTGATAATAACTCATAGTTTTCCTTTTCTTGTGGCTTAGTCCAAGTCATTAGCAATTTTTTATAGCCTATTTATAAAGTTCTGATATGTTGTGTGACATGGATTATAGGAATGTGAATAATTTATATTATTCAGTGATCTTTGAGTCAAACACTACTGAGAAGATAGTGTGCATCAGTAACAAAACAGACAGCCAGCCCCTGAGCTCATCAAAGTTGCTGTAGTGGTTGGGGGAAAGACATTTATCAAAAATCACACAGATGGGGCCGAGGGGGCATAGGTAAGTGGTAGAGCTCTTGTCTAGCATGCACAAGCCCTGGGTTTGATCCCCAGTACCATGAACACTCATATACATGACTGGGCATTGTGACACATATCTGTAATCCCAGCACTTAGAGAAGCAGGAGGATCTAAGAGTTGGAAGCCATCCTGGGGTACATAGTGAGAGCCTGTCTCAAAAAAGAAAGTCACACAGATGAAGGCTGGGGATGTAGCTAGTGGTAGAGCTAGCTCAGCATGCACAGGCTCAGGGTTTGATCCTCCATACTATTTAAAAAAAAAAAAAATCACATAGATACTCACTTTTAGCACCACACACAAAATAATGCTTTGTATTCATTAAATACAGAGGTGAGTGCAGCTAGTGGAATCATACATTATTCTTGCTGTGATACATGCAAAGACCTTTTCATTTAGAAGTGTCCAATCCCCAGGTATTTTTTGGCCTGTCTTTCTGCTGGTAGTATTCTGTGCTTTAATCAAACACTATCAAAGGCCAGCATTTATATTAATTAGTAATTTAGTACATTTAGATTTTCCTAAGTTGATGTGTAGCAATCCTTTTTTTGTACTATGTCCTTGGACACAGGAAATGATTAATTGGTAAACATTTTTCACAGGTCAGAATCAGAGTTCATATTTTGGTGTGGGGGAGGTGGCAGGGGTAAGTACCATTAGTCATTACTAAATAATATACTTCCAAAACAAAACCAGAAAAATCCCAGTGTCATGGTATGTACACTGGCTTTTTTTTTTTAACTTTTATTGTTTTATTATTCATATGTGCATACAAGGCTTAGGTCATTTCTCCCCCCGCCCCCACCCCCTTCCTTACCACCCACTCCGCCCCCTCTCTCTCCCCCTACCCCCTCCATACCTGGCAGAAACTATTTTGCCCTTATCTAATTTTGTTGAAGAGAGAGTATAAGCAATAATAGGAAGGAACAAGGGTTTTGCTAGTTGAGATAAGGATAACTATACAGGGAGTTAACTCGCATTAATTTCCTGTGCATGTGTGTTACCTTCTAGGTTAATTCTTTTTGATCTAACCTTTTCTCTAGTTCCTGGTCCCCTTCTTCTATTGGCCTCAATTGCTTTTAATGTATATGCTTTAGTTTCTCTCTGCATTGAGGGCAGCAAATGCTAGCTAATTTTTTAGGTGTCTTACCTATCCTCACACCTCCCTGTGTGCTGTCGCTTTTATAATGTGTTCAAAGTCCAATCCCCTTGTTGTGTCTGCCCTTGATCTAATGTCCGCATATGAGGGAGAACCTACGATTTTTGGTCTTTTGGGCCAGGCTAACCTCACTCAGAATGATGTTCTCCAATTCCATCCATTTACCAGCAAATGATAACATTTCGTTCTTCTTCATGGCTGCATAAAATTCCATTGTGT